AGGCGACTCCGTCGAATCATAGAGATCCTTAAAATGTGCTTTAATTTTTGAGAAGGATGTATGTATAGCGGACAGAGTCAAAGAGGGAAATAAAACTCACCATAAAACGTACTACATGGTCGTCAAAGCAAAAATAACAAATGTTTACTGCTCCGATCAATAGAATGGTGCCACCAAGCAGTCTTCTTCTCAAGCTCATGGCAAGGGTAGAGATTTGCCTTGAGTGATGACCTTATCCTCAGATAGGCTAGAGCGTTCACGAGCAAAGCCTGCATCAAGAAACATACATCTTTTTTATTTTATTTATTTACAACGTCACATAAGGCCGGCGTGAGAAAGCAAAACAACAGTAAAGTATCATTTCCGCTATAACTAAGCGTAACTCAACAAAACCTTCTTATGGTTAGTTAGATCTTGTGTTGCAAACAATTTCTCAACAGTCATTTGGCTTGGTTTCACATGCTGGTCAGGATTGAACGGGAGTAATTAAGAAGTGTGTGACTGATCCCTTCAAGGGTGCGAACGTGACCACTTCTATTCAGGATCGCAATGGTATTTGAGAATGGCGTGACCTCTACAATACGATAACGAATGAAAGAGCTTAAGGGATGGAAGCCTTGGTAGTCCGGGTGAGATGCGATCTGACACTCGACCCGAGCGCGTGACAAATAGGGTTATTCAAATCCAGCAAAGCTCAAAGTGTGAAGCTTTCAGCGCTGATCCATTTCTGTTGACCGATCCTGGGAGATAAAAGCACCAACTCGTGCACGGTTCGCGCAAGTCATTGTATATGCCAGTCCATATGCATTCAAAGGCCATTGCGATTATTTTATTTTCTTTCAGGAAATAAGTTAATGAGATTGGGAACCTAATGTCACACTTGATGAAAGCGAAATTATAATGAATAGGTTGCACAACAGCTCAGGATTCATGAAGAACACAGAGGCTATTTAAGGTGGTGGCTGAGCTAGCGCTTTGTTCTTCCTAGCAACGAGAATTTTTGGTGTTCCTTGCCCACGCAGTGACGCAATCCAACTTGAATTTTAAAGGCAAACCCCGGGATTAGCCCGACTAGTAGGAGGGATACCACGAGGGAAATTGTAAGGTCCGCACTCCAGCTTCGTCGCAAAAACTGCGCGGTTAGGGCGCTAATCCTTACGGGCCTGCAACCATCGACCCCCGTTCCAACGCTTCCCACCCGCGAGAGGTGGTGAGATCAGCGTGCTCTCTCAAACGACGTGCTCTCTCGCGTATTTTGTCTTCTTTGACCGCCCTGTCTCGCCATCGTACCACATCCGACCTTATTGAAGGTTAAGGCCTTAATTTCAGCGTTCCCAAAGATTTCTCTTGCTTTCCTTCCCACTTTCAGGTCGTTCCGCAGCTAAGCTATCACTACAAAGCGCTGATAGCACCTGTTCAATCCCGGAGTTTGCCTTTAAGCGCTCGAGAATTCAAGTTTGTGAATAAAGCAGAAAATCATGTCTGAATCAACTCAGCGCTGAAAACGTCACATTAAAGCCTCTTGTCACGTGACACCTGAGAAGTGGCTCTGATAAAAAAAAGGATAAAGCATTTGCCGTTGATCAATCCCTTTTTGGGATGCGGCACGCATTCTACTTCCATTTGTACATTCGTAGTGGCGTTTGAATGCGATGTGGCCTATACAATGACTTGCGGGGGCCAGCCGATGTTCAAGTCAGTGTTTTTATCCTCCCAGACAAGTCTGGTACCAATTAACCGACCCCGGAGGGATGGAAGGCTTGGTTGGCCCGGGCGACTCACGACCCAGGATTTGATCCCCGGACCGCTCGCGTGGTGAGCGCGCCACTTGTCACTACACCACTTCCGCCCTAAATTGGTACATACAGCAGCCGTCAAAAATATTCGCCGGACGGTTTTTCGCCCCTGAACAATCGCCTCAAATACTAACAGTACGTTTTGATCGGTCTAGTTTATTGAAAGCGTAGGATTTAAGAAGCACAAGTACTGCGGAAGACCCCACCCATAGTGGGCGGGCATACCGCCGGATTACAAAGCAGAAGGTTGATGTGTTTGCTTGTCCACCATGAATCATCAGAAAAAGTCTCCAGTTCCCCTATACAGCCGCCCCATCCCTATAACGAACACAGGTCGGTCAATACCTTCTGTGATTCAGATGAAGCTGTTCACGAAGGTCGCAGAGGTGTTACTTGCTGTAATAAAAATGCGGAAAAAGGCTCCGTAAGCTTCTTTCATCCGCAAAAAAATCCGCCCGCAAAGTATTCTTCGACATCCCCATCTGGTCTCACACCTATTAAGCTTCTGTTCCTCAGTTCCGGATCTTTTCCTCCTTGACGCTAAGTGTCTCTTACTAGGGAAGGATGAAGGGTCGAAGCGGCCATATGAAGTAAAAAACTATCAATTGTATGTATTCAACGCTGGAATTACCGAACATTCTCTCTCCCAAAATCTGCCCAAAAAAAAAAAAACCCATCGCATTCGACAACGAACTACGAGGTTTGTGTCCTCCAACCGATTTAATCACGTGAAATCAACCTCATCAGCAACACCACAACTTTTGAACGACGCATTGCATTCTCATCTACGTGTTGTGGCCTGGTGTTTGAGTGTGGCTGAGATTGTGTGGTCATGGTTCGGACCGCTTGCTTGCTTTTTCCTTATTGCATTTTGTGAAATGACTACTGACAGTCAGTGCAACTCACTGATTCCTCCTTCCTCCACAAACACGCACTCAGTCGTCCTACTTTCTTTTGGTGGTTTAAAAGAAAAGAACGAATAAAAAATTGCAAATTAACTTGCGATGTCAATATCTAAGGGTGAAGCGCGCCCTACTAGTAACGATCGCGCGTGAATGCGTTATTTTGAGTGAAGATAATCGTGATCTTGTGTTCATATCGTATCCCCCAGCTAACCTCCCTGCGGTCCATTATCTAGATAAAATTCGAGATTTGAATTAACTTCAAAAACAAAGTGGCGCCATTCTCAATCATCTATGTGCTACATTATTCCACCAAGCCGTAGTTCTTGACCTAATTCAGACGCACCGGTGACGCCTTTTAAATTTGACATAAACATAAAACGTGTGCGGTGTTTGAATCAATCATACCGCGAACATAGTCAATCAGTACACCTGCTTACATTACCTCACTCTTCCGAGAAACACCAAAAAAAACTTATCATTCGTCCCACCAGGTCTCTATATGGCTTCAGCACAGCTGATAGACTAACACTGGATACTATGCCCACCCAGGCTTTTATTTTCGAAATTTGGTCGAAATCTCAAATTTGGCTACAAACTTGTCCCTAGGGGTATTTTAATCTCCGGAACACGAATATCACACTTGTTTGCTGCAAAAACGTCTGCCAAGAGTTCTGTGGGCTCCATGTGCAGTCTTTAATGAGTACCGCCGAAACTGACTAGAAACTCCTCGCAAAGTCTTTGCACGGGTAACTACAGGCAAGCATTGATCGAGTAAGGTAGTTGGGAGCCTTTTTTCAATCATTTTGCAGCGAAGGCAAAAAGGAGAACCCGCCAGGGAATCGATCCCACGACGTCTTGCACGTGAACCCGGACTACTACCGCTGCACTACTTTCCTTCATAACTTTATTCCGTGAAAAATCGTTGGCAATTTAAAAGCAGATTCGGATCAACGTCCATAAAACAAATCCCAACGGTGTATGTATCTTACTACTCGGCCTGACCTCAAATTAACCAATCCTCACGTTCCTTGCTTACGTCAACGCGAAAAGAGATGGCGTTTTGTTTACTCGTTGCATTCTCTTAGATCGGAGGTGAATGAAACTCCTTGTTTTATCTTTTGTTATCAAATACCGTTCCTCTCTCTCTCACCTCGTTGTCTGTATTGTGGCCTCTACACTCAAATTCAGCAGCCAACATTGCCTCTCATAGGGCTAACGACATTCGCATATAAGCACGAATCCTTTTAGTTCGCAAAGATGAGCTATTCTCGATTTTATGAACAGACTTGCACGCATACTTTAATCTCTGTCAAGTGTGTGTAAACTCGCTATGCTGAAATTTCAATTATTCTCGACAAATTCTCAATCGCTCCAACTCTGGAGGGAAAAAGCTTAGCGCTGTTCAGAAATCAGAAGTCCAATGCATTCAGAAATTGTCTTCCTTTTCTGAAATGATTGTGACCGAGCAAAGGTATATTCCTTCAAATAGGGGTACATTTGACGATTTTTCCAACTTCGTGCCAGCCGGATACAAACGGCAACGCAAGACGCGACCGTAGGAAGATAGTACCGCTATGCTGGAGAACGACATTGTTACACAACCTGTAGGCAGCACCGCTTCTCTTTCTACTCTGTTCTTCTCTAGTAGAAGTCCATTCCCTTTCTTTTTTACTCGTCTATCACAGGTTAGTCCGTTTTCAGATCCAGTTCTTCGAAAAAGACTAGCTTGTGCAAAGTTAAGTTCAGGATTTGAACCGCGGAGCATTCGCGTGGCAGCGGCGCTGCCTCCCTCTTGTACATCTAAAAATAACATTTTTCATTATGAAACGGAGTCGAATCTCTGATGAGGGGGGGGGTCGTAAAGGGCGGCCATATCCTCGACACGATTTTCATCCTGCTCACCAATTTATGTGGAGTGTAACTTTAAGTCTAATAAAATGGTGCATGAAAATCGTCATAGGCATGAGAGAGCGATCAGGCATATATCACTATTTTTGGCATACAGGATGACTTGTGAGTGCTAACCAAAGAGCAAGCCAGCGTTTTATTCTCTCAAGCAGCTCCGTCACCAGTTGACAGACTCTGGAGGGTAAAAGTGTGCGTTTTGCTGGGCAGGATTCAATCCAAGATTAACCGTTGGACTGTGCGCGTGGTAAGCGACGCCACTCAAAGCTACACCACCTCCTCCTGTTTCAACTGCATTTTTGTGAGGAGCACGATGAAAAATTTAATCTTTGATTTTTTGTACAATTTCATGCTCCGTTGAAGTGCAACTCGCAATGAAAGGTGATTTTGTAATTCACGTCGTTCCGAAGGTTTCTTCATAATGCTCAAGCTTCTGCGTCATTTGCTGATATTCATCGTTGACTTTTTGTCGCCAGCCTTCCAAATGTTGTAGAATCTTGAACGGCGACACAATCAGATTCTGGTCGTGATTCCAACGTGGCGGAGCTGAAAATTTCATCTGAGACAACAAAGCTCTAAAAAATACTAGAAGAGAGTATCGCATTCACTTGCACACTGATCAAGCAGAACAGGAGTTCTCAATGTGTCAAACCATGGAAAGTGCATAGGTCCATTGAGATTTCTGAAAAATTAAGATTACAAGGAATGTCGGATCCCGTAATCAGAACATTCTGTTTATCCGTACGGATGTTGCCCAATCCACCACAAATTGTCCCCTCTGAAATGCGCAGAAACCGGGAGCGTGCACTAAGAATGTTTCATGAGTTTCGCGTATATTCGCGAAACCTGAACATTTTCCGGAGAAAGCCTATCTACGGAAGAGGTCTCGAGAGTTGAAGGAGGGGAAACCTGCCTTAGTGCAAAGACACGTCCCCCAAGGGTTTGAGCCGCCACCCAATTCCCAGCGAAGGGCATGTCCCCGCGACTTAGCATGGCCTTCCATGTGGCCTTATGGGTGCGACACGCCCACCGACTGGCTAACCGCAGGTTCTTTAGCCATGTACCAGAGAGAGGATTAGCTTTTGAGAGGTCGGCACTGACGAGAGTCGCATCAGTGCGCAAATCAAAGGTCAAGTAAGGGGTTCTGCTTCTTGGGTTTTGAGAGCCGATTTCAGCATGGTTTATTCTTCCGTTCATGCCCAGCCCTTCAACCTGAACGGCACCACCTACCTCTTATTCTTCCAATGAGCATAAACTTTTCATCCCGTGAATAAATCATTAATTAAGAGTAAAGGTCCTGCCTGTTAATTTTTGATTATGGCTGCCTCTATCCGTAATTGTCGCAATCCTCAGTAAGTTCTCGGAAAGTCTAAGCGGACACCCCGCAGAAAGAAACCTCTATCGCTTTCGATTTGCTCTGAGAATTTCCGAGTTCTCACCCAATGTGCTCCGCGTTTGTATTGTATCTTGTCAGCTTCTTTTCGTCCATGAAACATGAAGTCGATCATTGGATTCCAATGACTATTTGTTAGCCATCCATCACGGGCCCATCCTTGCCCCTAAAGTTTACATCATTTAATTCATTTGAAATATTACCGCGACTTTCCATTCATCCGATCACGTTTCTCATGAAATGCGAAGATTAATTTTCTTTGGCGAAAAATACTTTAAGGTTTGAGCCTTCGTGCACTTCGCGGCAACCCCATCATACGGTGTAGGTCTGACAAACTGCTGTAGTCGGTCGATGCAATTCCAAAGTTGTTCGCCCACTTGGTGGGCCATCGACCCGAGGCGTTGCTTGACCAATACCACGATCTAAAAACGGGAAACAACCATCTATGGCCCTCCGCTGATGCAGCATCTCTTCATCTTTCCTCTAAGGGAACCGAGGTCGTGTTTTTCTCAAATATCGAATACGACACTTTATGCTGAACCGGCGCCATCGCAAGATACAGGGGCACCCTCTAGGTATAAGTTTAGGAAGGGACAGAACCCTATGAATGCCGACATTCGATCGGCGCAGCCTAAGAGCTATCCTCTCCCCGCTTGCTCAGGCGGTCCCGAATTCTATAGAGGAAGTGCATTTCATGAAAACTGTCATCTTCAGTGCCCTTCCTCCTCCTTGTCGATGAGCCTCCTGATACCTATTGCAGGTGCAGCAACATAGGTAAACAAATGAAAAAATTTCTGGTTCCCCTTCACTTCTCCGAGAACGCAAAATGCCACTAGGAATCTGATTTTGGGGGTAAAATAATGAGGCATTCTCTGAGAAACCCTCCCCGGAAAATTCTTGCATTCTTTCCCAACATGAATATGTCAGTTGTGATCACTAGAGACAACATACAAAGTTTCACGCACGAAGATTCAGTTTCCGAAGAGAAACAAACTTACGAAAACCACACTCTATGGACGGTCGAAGGTAGGTCGCGGAGCCAAAGGCGGGATGGAAAGAAGTGCGCCTTGGGGCGGCCACGTATCAGGCGACGCAATGAAAGAATCGGAAAGCGTCGATTTTGGAGAATAGAGACAAAACGATCGATAGAATAGGATGCAGTAGAAGTGTGAGATGTTAGTGCAATAAGTCAAAAGGTCAAAAGAGTTTCTAGTGACAGCACTCCGTGAACCAAGTGGATGCCGCCAGCATTTGTGACAGATGTCCGGCGGGAATTTGAACGCGTAGCAGTCCTTCCGGTTTTTCGAATTGTTTACCAAAACAAATGCAATTTTTTGTTCTTTTCGTTCTTATCGTGAATGATGGGTCTCAAGCCAGTGATTATGGGTGGGATAGAATCATGATTTTTAGGGAAGGGTTCCTTTAAATAGATCGACGCTGAATGCGTTAAGCTTTAAGCTTCAATAGATTCTGTTGTTTTCCTCTTACTGGCTCATTATGTCATTTTGAGGAAATTTTCTAGCCATCTCATGGAAGACAGTCAGTTTACAGATGATAACTCACGTGAATTGCTCCATTGTCTCTACCATGGAAAGATTTTGGCAATGAAAATTCGTAGTCTGCCCATCCACGCAGAAACCGCTTGGAAAATTCGCTCCGCTTCACCAAATACGACCCTTAAATATAGACCTGAACCGTTCTGCAGCAATTGGAAGCAGGGTCAACCGTCCGTTGTTCCAACTCTAAAAATTACACGGGATCCCTCTTTTGTTATATAGGGTCTTGACACGACTCTCCCAGCGCCAACATCAGCCTTAGAAGAGTCCCATGGCTGAAGAAACGGCTAATGTTCTAGTTTTGTCCATTTCGTGCTTCTGTCAAGGGGCTTTCGCCAAAGTTCGCGAAACAACCATGCACCAAGTGCTTAAAGCGAGAGATTACGATAAAGTGCGTATGCAGCGTGGAAGTACATGCACCATTGGAAGCAGTAGTCAGGGGCCCAAGGAAACGAAATGTTGCGTTTTTGTGGTCAAAGGTGCGCTAGTTGCAGCGTACAAGGCTTGCCATTCCTTTCTGAGCCCCGCCACGGTCTGTGCTCCGCCCCCAGCAGCAGCGCCCTTCGATTGCCAATGTGACGAGATATTCCACTTCCAGTGTATCCTATAACTTTTCATGGGATGCGTGATCAATCAAAGCATGATGCTTGCTGAAATGATAGAGGCTATCAGCATAACATGTGCAAACGACCTCCTAATTGGTTGCTAGCTCGTCCATTATCGGAGGTCAACGGGCAAAGAAAGGGGTCCCATTTTGCGCCTTCTTGACGGATTTCTTTGCTTTTTTCGCCACTGGGGCATTATTCAGCATCTCCACTTCCACTATGAACCCAGTCCAAACTTATCGTAATCCCTCGCTTAAAGGTAAGTGTCGGGCTCCTGACCCACCTAAGAAGCCCTTACCATGGCTAGTGCTGGGCACCCAAGTGCAAAGTTAGCGCCACCTTTCTACATCGAAACCCGTCACCAGGACCCTAGGCGCCATGAACTTCTAACAGACTCCACCAAACTTAACATGGTCCGCCCACCGTTCGATATCTTGTCTGCGTCGCCACGTTGATCTGCTATGCTCTCTCTTCCGAATTCTCTACCACCCCCTCCGCTCACTTTATCTCTCATCTCCCTCTCCTGTTTATTTATGAACTCTTCACAGCACTGAGTGAGAGTGCTGTACTTTCCTGTGCATGCCAGGATTTCTTTATCCTTTTTTTTCCGCCATTTTTGGGCCACTCCCCCCAGCGGTTTTTTTTTTTCCGCCCCCCACCGCATTTCCCATCCCTACTCTTCCATTTGAGGAACATCAAACCTATCAATATATCCTGAGATCTTGCCTTCCAACACGCCGCCATCTTCCCACTCTAGCCACAACTTCCGAAAGTACAACCCACTTTTTGACCTTCCCACAACTGCCCTTCAAAAAACTCACTCAGACCATCCAGGCACTGCGGAGCACTGCGCAACGCACGGTTGACCCTGATTGGAGGTTGTCCATACCCTATCTTACCAGCCATGATTTCGTGGTTGAAGAATCTGCTGTAGAAAATGATGTCCTTGTTTGAGTCCAGGTGATCCTCAAGGTTCCTAAAGTAGTAATGGTTTCAGCTGATCACTACTCAGAGAGGTGCGATGCGTACAGCAAAGACGTGAAGCTTTTTGCTAATGTGTAGCCTCTGCCGTTGAATCAAGAGATTACGATAGTTACCATTTTCAATACAGGAGACACTCCAAATTTTTAAAAAAGTAGGGAGAGGTTTATCGAACCTGTTTTCGTTGACCACTCCAGTATCGGCGTCAACAAAGAGAATCCAGTCGAACGACTGTAACTTTTCCGCTACGATGCAGTGCCGTTGAAAGGTTATCTGTTAATAGAAAGTTTAGGAGAAGTTCGCGACTGTCCCCAGGAGCGAATTAGGCATGGCTTCTCATGTCTCAAAGGACGACATCACCGATAGAATGAGGTCGAAGAGAAGGAGTAAATCAGCCCATTGAGAGGTACGCCGCGGCCTCCAAAGCATTGTCAATCCGTGCACGTTCGACATTTCGGATTTTCGCGACCCCCTAGCTCTCGAAGGGTTCCCCCGTTCGACCCCTGTTTTGCTAATAAGATTGTTGGTTGTGTGGGCTAAGACATTAATAATTGCGCCAGAAGGCGTCTGCGTCCAGGCTCGACGCCTCGGCCTGGCTGCGCCAATGGGGCCGTATGCTGAATGTTGGGTAGGGGACGGGGATGGGTGAACGTTGGGGAGGTTCGTCGCAGGACCCTTCTGGGCAGCTGTCGCACCTTTGATTTTGCAGCTTTGTTTTCACCCTTTTACTGTTTCTGATTGTATATTCGCACGTAAATATCTTTCTTCATACCAAAAGCAGCGATGAAAGAATACAAACAGAGCTGCAATATTGAAGGTGCGACAGCTGCCCAGAAGGGTCCTGCGACGAACCTCCCCAACGTTCACCCATCCCCGTCCCCTACCCAACATTCAGCATACGGCCCCAGGTATTCACAGGGCGCTGGAAGAACGAGACGCGGCGATGAAAGAATTTTGGAGGGGAATAAGTTTCTTGAGATGTATTTTTTTGACTTGTTGAGGTTGAGGACACCCTGTGCTTCGAAATTTTCGAGACAATCTAAGAAGTTATATCTTCTTACGTCTTTATGAGAGCAAACATCTCTGTAGTCTTTTGCGTTGAGCACATTGTAGGCGTAGT